ATTTCTTTAATTTTGAAAAAATTACTATAAAAGGAAATTTTTAAGAAAAATGTTGTGTACGGAAAAGAGTTTTTTTTTTTTTATTATTATTATGAATTTCAAACTGAGTACTTAAATAATATCCTTAGAAACCTTAACTATTATATTATTATATCTTTTATATAATTAGTTTTTGATAATTATTATAATATTAATTGGATAATCATTATTAAAGCTTTGAATCAAATATTGAAATAATACTATTATAAATTCTAATTATTAAATTAGTAAATATTTTATAAAATTACAATTTCAATATTTATTGAATTAGCATACAAATTAGTTTCTTATAAGAAACAGTATGTACAGTATATTAGGTTATAATGCCAGAATTATTTTTAAATTGGTTAAATTGTTTTTATCTAAAGTTAAATTAATATCTTGTAATTTAATTCATAAAACATTAATTATTATACTATAGATTCACTGGTTTTGTTTTTTAAATTTTATTTATTAAAAGTTTAAAAAATAAATTTAAAGAAATTATTTTAGTTTTTACAAATAGTTACTATAAATAAGAATTTGATTTTAATTATAGATAAAAAATATATATTTTATATTTAAAAAAATCAATTAAAAGTTAGATACAGTATATTTAAAAATATTTTAATACAAAATATTCATTAAAAAAACTATTATTATAAAAGAAATTTTTTTAAAAAAACAATAAACTTTTTTTTTGATTAATATAATATTATTAAATTAAGAATTGATAATAAATATAAACAAATAAATTTATTTATTTATTTAATAATATTATATTTGTATAACAATTTTTTAGTTTTTTAATATACATATATAAATAAGAATAAAACAATTATTTACAATAGTAAGTAAATAATTCTTTATTTAATGTAATTGAGACCATCAATAATTGTTTATTATTATATATAATATATTTGTTATAATGCAAGAAAAACAAATACAACATAAACAATAAAAAAATCAATTGCTTTTCAAGTAATTTTTTAATTATCAATTGTCATAATATTATTTTATTATTTTTTTTTAACAGTATTATAAATTTGAAATTTAAACAATACAAAAAAAAAAATAATCTGTTTTTTAATATGGTTCAATTACAATTGCAAAAATTGATAAAGTTATTTTAATATATAATTTTGATATATTGTATATAGTGTTACTTTATTGTATTAATCTTTATTCACAAATTTATCAACATACTATATAATGACAGTGACAATGATTTATACTTTATTTAAAAAAAAACAATTCACCGTTGTTTTTTTACTTGGTAATAAAACTTTAAAAATATCATTATAATATATAAATCAATAAAGACATTCTTTTTTTTTTATGCCAAATCCTATATACTTTTGCAAGATCATGTGTCCTATATTTGCATTTTTATTATGTTGAAGAAATTGTCGTTAACAATACAACAATTATATGGATTTGCCGATCTTTTTTATCTAAAAAAACAAAGTATTATGAACTTATATATAGCATTTTTTTTTGACGTTAAACCAACAAATAAAAAATTTTATTAAAATAGTAATAAAAATCACTTTACTAATAATAATTACAATGTAAATGATCGAACAGCACCAATTAGAAAGACACTGATCTACTGTACTATTGAATGTAAAACGGTTACCGTTATATTTTCCAAAACAGGTTTTTTATTGAACATATTCACGATAGAGATGGGTAATCTTTATCACAATATACAGTACATGTACAGTATATCGGTGCAAATGTATTCATTTGTTTCTTCTTGTTACAAAATTTGTAAAAAAAAAGAAGACTACAACAAATAAAAACATACATTTGAAATTTCGACTTCCAGAAATGGAAAGAAAGTTACATGAAAATATAATTTAATAAAAGATACTGTTCTTCGAAGGACTCTTCGAAGGACTCTTCTTCGACTTTATCAATTGGCTCTTTGGAGTCGCTTGAGTCTGTTATCTCTTCTACAATTTCCATTCCTTCCTCTTCCTCTTCTTCCTCATATTCTACCGTGAAGACAAAAATTTCCGGCGATTTAAATTTAACTTCTCTTGTTTGCTTTTCACCGGCATTTTTTGATTTATTCATTAAATCCAAATGATCTTGTTCGGTGAGATTTTGCGACGAAGCAACCTACACATATTAATCACATAAGGTCATGAATGCTTTGAAAAGAAGAAAGATGCGCGAGAGGCACATACATTAACATTCCGATGTCGGTTTAATCTGGCTAACTTTTCGTAAGGAAACTAATACAGCATATTAAAAAAATAATAATATAATTGCTATACAGTACTGTAAATAAGTTTCATTGCATTAAAAATGAACGAACTATGCACACGTGCTGCCTGTATGTATAATTACATTATTGGATTTCGAATTTTACCTCAACATAGTCGGCTGGTATGTAACCAATTTTATTATTCTTTAAAACTTTAACCTTCCACCAATCGATATGAGAATCATCTAACAGGGTAAGTGGTTCGCCTTGATCCACAATAGCTGCCTTTTTGTCCGCTGAATCAAAGGCGTACAAGGCGTAGACCAGATTAAAGTCAATTTCTTCGGCGATATTCGGGGGTGATGAAGCGACATCGCTATCATCGTTGTTTTTCATTATTCGATTAAGTACTTGATTCATTATTTGTTGAATTAAATCTTATTTTTCACACGTAATTAGAAAGAATGTTGAAAAAAAATATAAAATTAAGCGTGACTGGTCGAAAACAAGTACGTTTTTGGTGTTAGTGACAGGAAGGTAAAAGGGGGAATGGATGACGGAATCGCTCAAGATAAATCAAGGAACGTGAATTAAATTTATTATGTGAAAATGATTTCCGTCACTAATAATCGGAAACACTCATAGAGTGAGGGTAATTAGGAATTAGAAAGAGTGTGAAAAATTGGCATGAAAAATGCGATAAAGCCATCCTTATTGATATGCCGTACGTTCTGTACGGAAATCAAACGTTCTTGTGTCACCCTCCAAGTTATGATTTCCGAATTTGTGTTAATAATGGGCTTAATAAAACACGCGGCAGTAAAGTTACACTGATACACGGCGGCAAAATCCGAAAAAGAACACCTTTAGACTTGGAATTCAAAAATTTATAAACTATTTAGAGTCATATGGCACGCAGCAGTTTATAAATTTTTAAAGACAACACGAGATACGCACGTATGGTGAGTACGTTCATTTTCTGTTGGCTATATGCACAGTTTTAAAATTCAATACACAAAGGATATGTTGTTACACACACATACAGTAAAAGTATAATTATCGAACTAACGCATCTTTTGTGAAGGTCAGGATTGAAACATGTGAGTTGTCGATCTTAAATCCCAAGATCCGGGATGTTCTTGCGATCTCACAGATATTGAAGAAACAAGATAAATGAAGAAATTAGGAGTGTATGTTATCAAATAAATAATTAGGATAGTGTTTTAAAAAATTTAATGTATGCATAAAGGTTTATTTTGAGATAATAAAATCAAACTTTTACAATAGCATACTTGGAATAGTTTTGAGTAATTGTTCATTGTGAATGTTTGAATGTATACTAAGGATAGTTGAGTTTTTTTTGTTTTGTTGATTTGAAAGAATTTAGAGACCTGAATCAAATCGTTTCACGCCTCAAGCCTTAGAATTAATTAAATCATAGAGAAGCCACCAAAAATTATTACAATTTAGAGAAAATAGGATCTTTGTGTCGAGTTTATTCATATGATCAATGACCTTAGATCGAACAAACGTCTCTAAAATCAAAATAAATTACGTAAATATTTGTTTTTTTTTTGCAAGATGACAACCCGAGATTCTAGTGTGTACCTTGCCGCTCAGCTCGATATTTCTTGCATTCAGATAATATTTTCTAGATTACAAAATAAATGTATTTAAATAAATGAAAACAAGTTGTTATTGTGTGCAAGTAAACTAGAAAATGGGAACCGTTAGGGTCCGAGGCATTATTTTGAACGAATATTAATTCCTTTAAATTATGTACTGTATATACTGTATTTATTACTTAATTAAATTTTTTTAAAAAAATTATTACAATTTAAAATAGAATTTTATTTATTTAGCGTTATAATAAATCCGTTTAAATAATTTAAAATTTTTTACTGTTTATAGTAAAATTGTCGAATACGTATTGAAAAATGCAAAAATATATTACTTTTTGCTTGTCTTTCTTTCATTTCTGTATTTTTGCTTTGAACAATCATTGATTATATATATGTAATTTACTGTAATTTAATATAAGGTAAATAAATATACAATATACACAATCAATTTTTTTACAATGTATACTTTGTAACATACAAATTAAATAAAGAAATGATGTTTACTTGCAAAAAAAAAATTCAAAAGTTTTTCAAGTTTAATTAAATTTTAATTAAGTGGTGATCTTATTTCTATTATATATTTATTATTTTAATTTATCTTATTTTATTATTATAGATATACTGTATTTTCTGCCACTGTTTATTAATATAATTGTTATTTTTACCTTTTTTTATATACTGCTTATATAATTTATTATTAATTTATATTTTGACTTTTAAAAAAATAAATTAAATACAAAAGGTAATATAATGTTATGTCATTATCTAGTTGATCGGTTGGCCATTGATAAAATAGATAATCTATTGTTACAGTAATAAGTTACTACTGTAGTTGATCAGTTGGTGAACAAGATAAAATAAACAAAACAAAACTTATCAACTCATTATCCTTTATTGTCTTGTTTTTCGGTTTTATTATTATTCGTTTTCTGAATATTGGAATGATGACTTCTCTTTAAACGAGTAGAGTGTTCGCTAATACGCCAATACCCTGACACATAGGAGGGTCGGAGATATATTAGTTTAGTTCACATCTGGCTAATTTAATATTCCCTGTAGCATGCTAGGTAACATTTATCTAACGAAAATATTTGACAATAGGACAAACGGCCAAATTTTCTCAAAAACGTATCTGATATGTTTTTTTATGTTTTCGTATATAACGTGAGGAAGATATGAATAAGCTTCGGACGAAATATGAGTTAGAACTACAAGATGGTTTTGGTTGTTAAATATTTTATAAGAAATCTATTAAACGTTTGACCTTAGTGCATATACGTAGATACTTAATTAAAAATACTAGAGACGTGTTTTACGCGAAATAAACTTAATGTATAATATTTACATAATGTAATTTACGCGAAATATACGAGGTAATTTCTGTAAATAAAGATTATATTTAAATGGTTAAGTAAATAAATAAAAACAAAATTGTATTATTTGACTAAAATATTCAAACCCGTTTTTATCATAAATCTTTAATATCTCACCTTTATCATAAGGAAACTTATTACATTAACGTTTACTAGGGTGTGGTATTTAAAATAAGTATCGAAATCTCGAAACAGAGTGCGCGAGCTGTGGAAGTTTAATAATCATTTGTTTTATGGCGATTATTTCGGACGTAAACTTTCGTTCATTTACTTAATGAGACTTGAGCACAATTAATAGAAATTTCAACTTATATAGAACATTATCTTTAACAAATGAAGATTGCGATAAGAGACTTGATCTATTATTGCGGGTCAGGATTGGTAACATGGTCACGGTGCAATCTTTGAATTTGCGGTACTTTCGGGCAGGGGTTCGGATAAGTTTACAGGGGGGTGGTATTTGGCAAGTTTGTGGATTTGGGGCAAGGCAAATTAGGTAAGTATGAGATTTTTATTGGTCTGGGTTCCATTCTCTTTCATTTTACTAACATTGACACGCCGATAAAAGAAATAATGAAAATAATAAGGTCGGAGATCGATTGCCTTTTTGAAATGTGCGATCGTCGTAACACTATTAGCGGCGACGCGAAATACGGCGTTTCGGTTCTGGTACGATGATCGGACAGGAGTAAGGATAAGTATTACGGGGCTGGACAAGACGTAAAGGGTGCGAATTTGACGAGTTAATAGGGTTCAATATTATAATTTATTATAATTTAATATATTATTATTTATTTATTTATTATGAATCAATTTACATTAACTAATTAAAAAATATATATAGAAATCGTCGGACATTAGAAAATGCGGGAATGATCACTTTTCAGTTCATTATCTCCCTTTAAGTCCTACGCCTTGCTTCGGACAATAAAATTTTATTATTGCGCAAAAAAATTCTAGATCGCAAATAAACTCACTTGTTATGCGTCTAAAATTAATATTTATAATGTCATGTCAAACCGGCACAGTATTAAATATCGATGCAGTACAACATCGTGTCAAGAAATTGTCACGAAAATTCCTTTATTTAGAGGTAGTTAACTGTACATTGTGATTAACAAAAACGTATTGCTCATGTACGTAATACGTACACATAATCATGGTATCATGACAGAATATAAAAGTTCTTTGAATCTCGATACTGTAAATATGTCGCGGATCAATGAAAAAATATTTGTGAAAGAAATCCATATCAAAACCAATTCTATAGTTTAACATCATCCATGCTAGACTGGAATAGTTATCGACATATTCTTTTTATTTCTTTATAAAAATTTTCGCAGTATTCTCTCTGTTCCTTCCATTCGCCTATGATTGTTCTACATACTTCTGGCGGAAATTGGATTCTCTCCTTCGCGTCAACGGAATTCAAAGCTTGAATTAGATTGTTGATATTATTAACTTGTTGTTCCCAAAATTTGATAAGTGTTGTTGTGTTTTCCTCGATGATTGGAAGTTTTGCATCAATCGCATCGACGTAACCCTTCAATTTTTTATTTTCCGATTTTAATGCCTGGACAATATTATCTTGGTAGTTCGATCCAGAACTGAGAAAGTTTCCCAATGTAAATGCAAAAACGACAGTCAGAAAAAGATTAATTGCGCTTTTGTGCTCTTGGATAACGTGCATTTGATGAGGTGTTGTGGTATCCGTTGCTTTATCCACAGAATTATCGTTAGATAACCATCTTGGAATGTAAATCCATGTCCAATGAGCATCCGTTTGTTCAGATTTTTCAGTAGCATCTGTTTGATCAGCTGTCGTAGTGGTCGCTGTCTGTTCAGAGTTTTCAGTAGTATCTGCTGAGATGATTTCTAACCTCGAAGTTGTGATTGTTAAGGTTTGCTCAGTGTAAAAATAATACCAATAAGATGACGGTTCATAAGATACGGTAGTATAAAAAATAGTGGTTGTAACGGGTTCCATTTTTATCTCACTTGACTCGGTCGCAGTCGACGGTAGAATGAGTGTAGCAATATTAGTGATATACAACATAATAACTATTGCCACTAATAATACTATATGTATTAGTTTCGCTGACCATGATTTAACTTGTAAAAATCTATCATCGCTAGACCTGTCTCTTAGGTCAACTTTTTTTAAATCGGAGTTTATGCTGCACTTCAGTTTCTCGGCACTATCCTTGCGATTCTGTGCTTCGCTCAATAGATCTTCTAAAGGTCTCATGAGTGAGGAAATACTTTCCCTTTCTCCAGAAAGATGCTCAAAGTAAGAAATCATATCGTCTGCATATGATGCCATTTTCTGACATTCTGTTGCACGTAGAATAGTTAATGAACGAAAAGTTTGACCTTGTTCAATAACATATTCAATTTGTTCGGGCGTCTCTTCGCATTTGTTGAAATATTTTAATATATCGACAGTTGTTTTCTTAAGAATACTTAGATCTGGAACTGGTAGTCGTTCCCATTGTTCTAAATTAATAGTGAGCATTTTAAAAATTTTAGATGGTAAGAAATCGATTAAAAGAAGGCCTTCGTGAACAGAGCTATTATATGAAAACCTCGCGATTATAATCAATAGCACAAAGATAAGCTATAAAGAATACCAAAGAAGAACTTCAATGGTTAGAAGGTGGTAAAAGAACAATCAGACCGTCAAGGGGATGTGCGGCGAAACGGAATGGAGCAATAAAACTTTTCGTGGAAATAATGGTCACATACATATGCTAATACTTGCCTCGTATAATTATATGTACAGTACAGGTTACTGTATGTAGAGGTGGTTAAAATAATTTTGTAGAAACAATGATCACTTATAAGTAGGCTAAAATTTAAGAAACAATGGTCACCTGCAGTATAAATAGGCCAAAACTTTAAGAAACAATGGTCACATAGCAACAGCCATACATTTTATGGAACCAACAATCACAAAGATTTTTTTTTCAATTGTCAATACGGTAGCATCGGAGATGTTCCCCGTGTTGCATGCATTTTGTGTTTACCTCGTGGGAAAAAAACATCATAGCTTTACAAGTACGTACAGTAATAGTCTGCGGCTTATCCAAAAACCTTTTAAACTATATTTTTCTTATAAAGCTATGGAAACTTCACTTGAAAAGAAAGCAAATTCAGCTGAACGCAAGGTGCAAAAATGCAACACGGAAAACACCTACCGCGTCATTGAAAATTGGAAGAAAATCTCCGTTTGATCATACATTGATATGTCAAAACATTTTTGAGGAAATAATGGTTAATTTTGGGTAATGAATAGAGTGTCGCAAAAATGATGAGTAGGGACCTGCGTATGCATTAGGACTATATGAAGAATGGTCTTATCGGACTTGGAAGATTTCTTTATTCGAATTTTTAACGATCTTATCTGTGCCTGTAAAGTTTTTTATAAATCTGATCACTATTCGTATCTTTCGCTCATTTCGATAAAAAAATTAATCCCGATATCGTGTTCCGCACAATTTTTTTAAAAATAAATCGCTGCAGTATTCTTTATCCCATAATAAAAAAATGGAAAGAGAACCTCAAGATCCGTTGCTGGACCTACAATTGGTTTCCTCTTCCGTATCACGTGCGTTTCGCCTATTCACCAACTGTGAAACGATGGAATCCAAAAATACAACAATAATGAAGGCTATTGAATCGGTAACAAATCAACGGAATGCGTTTTACACCGAGGCTCGTAAATCAATCGCATGTGTAGAAGCTTTACGAAGACACGCTGAGGACGTATTAAATTATATCAAAATACTTCAAGATCAAGAAAACACCCTGGAGGACAGACGATCAAGTTTGGACAAACTTTTAGAAGATGCAAAAGAGAATAGAGCAAAATGGATAACAATGAAAGAATCTTTTGAACAGATAAGAGGATCTCTATCTGCAACACACACAGAGCTTACCAGACATAAATTCGAACTTCCGGCTAAAGAGAGGGAGAGAAAATCCAAGAAAAGAAATTTAGACGAATTAAATAGTTTAATTACAATCAAGTATACGGTGGCAGCGGGTAGTATGTTTTTTTGTATCCTATTGTTTGTATTTAGTGCGTTGCCCGACTTTCATTATTTGCAACACGCTGCCCAAGTTTGTCTTGTTGCTGGAATATCGGTTTTCTATTGGGTGATTTCTGATCACAAGACCATCCGCAAGATTAAAGATGAATTAGATGAAATGGACGATACCTTGGATAATAGCCCTGAAAAGATTAAGGACTTGAGAGGAACCCTTGATCCAATCGTTGAATGCATGGTCGAATTCGAAGTGTTTTGGGAAACAGAGGAAAACAGAATATCCCATCTCATTCGGAATTTAGAATCTAACCAAAGGCCGGACGATAAAGATTTACTCAATTGGAGTATTTCGACTGCACCTATCAGAAACAAATGGTGCGGAGTCCAGCAACAATGTGATAGCTACAGAAATGTAGTTAGCCAGCTTTTGAAAAGCATCGGAGACTAATCAAATGGTTAGGATTTTTTTTAAAAAAATTATAATTGAAACTTATTCACCCTGGTTAATCTGATAATTGAAATACAATATACTGTAATCTAGAAATTTAAAAAGGAAACATCTTTTGAAGAAATTACGAAGCACCCCCACGGTCTAGTGCACTGAATCGCCAAATAAATCACTCGCATAAATTTCAAAAAAAAAAAAAAATACTGTAGATACAATACCTTGTTTTTTGTTAAATTTAAAAAATATACATCGTTTTTGACAAAAATTTGGAAGTAAAACACATGCATAGAATTTATTCTTGAGAAAATAACAAGTAACCTCTTTTCAATAGTATTGGTTAGTTATGTTATTAACTTGCCTTCACTTCTAATGTATGATGGCCGGTCAAGACGCGACTATAGTCATGCGGCCGACTTATGCGCGGGCAACGCGTTCGATAATCAAATTCCTCTCCTTGCTTAGATAATACAATTATAATAAAAACCATACTTTTCTCGCAGATTCTCATACTCAATATTGTGTAAAAAGTGTAAAACGCATTAATAAAACTTTAATAAAGTGAAAAGACAAATTTTAATAAAGATCTCGAGTCAATCGTGCACGCCTGACCTTACATTCAACGTTTGTGCTGTATGCAAAGAAAAAAAACACAAAAAAATTTTTTTTTACAATTAAAAATTTATAATTATATATAATAAATCTTTTTTAATCATTTTATTAATATTTGTTTTATTTGTTTCTTAAAAAAATATTATTTATTTAATCAATTCATTTACAGTATGTTGCGGTTCTAAGCCTTTCTTTTTAAAAGTAAGAAATCACATATAACTAATAAAATGATTTTAGATAAAAAAACAGTTTCCATAAATTAGATCTATTTTTTTTTTTAAAAAAAAAAGTGTTTGCTAGTATTATTATTTTTATTCTCACGTTTTTGTTAATTCAATGGTTTATAAAGGAGATACTGTATATATTGATGTTGCATATTTTTGTATATAAATGTATATAAATAATTACTATACAAAGTCATCATCATATAATATAAAAAAATAATTAAGTGTGGTGTATAATTCTTTAAAACCTTTTTAGTTCATATGTTATTATTACAAAAAAATTTTATTGGACCTTTTACATTTTATTTTAAAGTTTAATCTTGAAGATTTTTTATTAAAATTGTATTAAAACATTTTTTTTTAAAGTTAATACGTTTTTATGTAACGACTTTAACATTTAACTAAATTTTATATCAAAAACTAAACTTGATTTTTATATACAATATAAGACATATTGATTTTTTTATTACATACAGATATTAAATGTAAAGATTGTTTAAACAAAAGTTTGTTATTATTTTATTAACAATTTTTATATAAGAAATTATTTTTTAAAACCAAACAAATATATATTCAATATACTGTATATTTAAAATAATATTATTATTATGGAAATAAATATTTGTTTGCCAGTATAATTGTTAAACGTTTTATCATATTTAAATTTTATATATATATGAATTTTTATTTTTAATTAAATAATTAAATACAATACTAATAATCATTTATTCTTTTTATTTTAAACATAAATTGTTTTTTATTATATTAATATAAAAAAACAAGAAATATTTAATTTTAATATAATTAAAAAAATATTGTCTTTTAGAAGTTCTAATAAATTTAAATTTAAAGAGATAATTGTCTTAAAAAAATAATAATTCAAAGTATAATTTAGACAGTTTGTTAAAATATAATAAAATTTTTTGATTTTGATTTTTTAATATTTAAAATTTTAAAATTTGTGTTTATTAATAAGTCAAAAAAAATAATAAACTTCAAATTTTAAATTGTATAAATATAAAAAGTTTGAATTTGTTAATAAATTATAATAAATTTTATATATAGTATTAATAAAAATTATTAAAAAACTTAAAGTTTAATTTTAATTAAATTCAAAAATATTATTTAAATTATTTGAAAAATTCAATAATTTTATTTTTTACAAGTTATATAAATTTTTTAATAATTGATTTTAAAAAAAATATTGATAAAAAAAATTAAAACAATTTTTTAAATTTAAGTTACTTGTCAAAATTTTATAGAAAATATATTATTTAAATATAAATATATTATAAAAATATATTTGTTAAGATATTTAAAAAATTTTTTTTATAATTCTTATAATATAAACTAGATTATTAATTTTTAAAAAATTTAAAAAAATTTTTTTTAAATCTTTGTATTTGTATTCATATTTTTTATATTTTTAAAATTGTTTCAAATAAATATTTTTTAAAAATTTTAAGTTTTATATTTAATTTTTTAAAAAAATAACATAAAAATAATGAAAAATAACCTTTAAAGTTGTTTTTTATTTTAATAAAAAGTTAATCATCATAGTTAAATTTTTTATATTGTCTTCTTTAATTATAAAATTTTAATTTTTTTTTATTATAAAATATAATTTATTTGATATTTTAATTAAATAAAATATTATTTTAAGTTTTTTTAAAAAAATTAATTGAATATTTATATTGTTTAACTTTTAAAAAATATAATAATAATAAATTTTTATATTTAAATTAATTATTTGTATTGTGAGTGTGTAAAAAGGTGATAGAAAATAATAAGGAAAAAGGTATAGTAAGTATATCAAGTATATCAAGTATAATAG